GGGTGGTGGTGGTGTGTTTCTCCCAGTCACTTGCAGTTGTCAGTGTGATGAAACATGAGGAACATGAACTTGCTAGTGAAGCAACATGGAGCTGAGACAGCAAACTCAGGTGTGGGCTAATGTGGTGTGGCACTGCTGTGCCACAGCTGTGGGCGTGCTCAAGGCAGTGTCCCTCCCATGCAGGTGCACGCTGCGGGGCAGGAGTGCACTTCAAGCTGCTCCCGGTCCCCCAGGACTCAAGAGCAGCTGGCAAGTGGCTCCCATGGGCAATGTCAGGCCGTGGAGGCCCTGAGGACCTCTCGTCTCTGAGCTCAGAGGGCCGTGGGGGTTCTGGTCCATGGCCAATCTTGCCCTTCCAACTGCCAAGCTTAGGGGACGCAGTGGCTGCCTGAAGCTACAACCAGCATCATCTCATGGAGGTGCTACAGAAGGGATATTCCCACTGTGACACCCCAAGCTACTATAACTTCCTCTTTCAGGACCTTGCTATCCCCACCCACCCCAGTAGACCTGTGCCAATGGCATCAATGATCCTCCCACCTCATCCTACAACCCACATGAGGAACCCACTGAGACAATTTCACTTCCCAGAGGCAAGTGCTGCGCAGACCAGAGATGAAACCCAGTGAAGGGTAGGGTGACCAGACGTCCTGCTTTTGGCAGGACAGTCCCACTTTTTAACAATTTGTCCTGTGTCCCCGGCGTTTTAAAAAAGTCCCGATGTTTGGAAAGAATGCACGAACGGGCGGGAGAACAGGAAGGGAATATACAGTCTTCGGCTGCCATGTGGCTATTTCACCAGGATATGAGTTTTATATTATTTTTGTTAATTTTATAATGTTAAACTGTAATAATAACAAATAATTGTTGAGAAGTGATTATCGAGAACTGCTTACAAAAGTTTGCATTGTTGTCAGGCCCCGCCCCCGCCCCCTTCCACCCCCCACCCACCATGTTGTCCCGCTTTACAAATGCTAAAATCTGGTCACCCTACTGAAGGGTGACCCATCTCCCTCCATAGCTCCTGCACAGGCCCACAGGCACAGCCCGTCCCTCCCTCAGATGGGCAGCCAGGTACATGCTCTGGGCATGGGACCTGGGGGGCCTAACCCACACTGCTGGGCCTCAAGCTCTCTCTCTGCATGTCCCCTGGGACGCCGGTCTCTCCACCCACCAGGAGCCAAAGCAGCTTGCTGCTTGCCTTCTCATCCACCTATGCCAGCCTGTCCACCACAGCTCAGCCCCACCATGGGAAACACTCTGACTGCACAGCCCCTCTCACCTTCTCTGCACATGATACCAGCCCCTTGTCCCTGGTATCCTTCCCCTTGCTGCCCCTCCCTCTGCACATACCACCGGGGCATTTCCCTGTGTGGACTTACTCCGATCCCCTCTCAAGAAGGGTGTTGGCCTTGGAGGGGTTCTACCTCTCCCAGATGGATGAGCATACCAAGTCACCTTCTGACCCCCAGCTAAAAACACATAAGGGAGGTGGGGAAGTCTCCTGGGTGACAGGCAGGTCCTGGGGGAAGCTGGACAGGGAGCCAACACAGGGGGAGGCCCAGCCCCCAAGTGCAAGCCTGACTACTGGCCTCCCTTCCATCAGCTCCCTCCCCTCCCAGAGACTGAAAGGCTGCCCCAAGACACAGGGTCACCCAGCAGAGCTATGCGTGCCAGGAAGCGGCACATAGAACTAAAGATGCCACGCATGTCCTCTCTTTAAGTCTCATATTCCAAAAATAAATACTTTGCTAGGCCTTTAATCAGATAGCTTCCAAACTACCATAACTACCATGAAAGCAGCCATTTTAGGAAAGAGAAAAACCCAGGTTGAGGTTCCAAACCAACCCTGCCCTGGTCTGGGAACCACAGAGAGGGAAGCCCCCACCCATGCTGCCAGAGTCACACTGCAGTCCTTGTACCCTGGGCCTCATCTAGAATAATTCAACTACTCCTTTGTCAGGGACAGTTCCAAGGTAGCAGAACACAGTACAGGGCACCCACCTTCCCAAAAAAGCCTTTGAGACTTTCAGCCACATGGTGGCCTCTGCTGCAGGGTACACGGTCTACAGACCCTGACTCAACCCCGGAGGCAACTCAGGGCAAATTCAGAACCATGGCTCCTCTGCGCTCACCACAGGCTGTGCCTGCCCTGAAAAGGGCATAAGTTGCCCCTTCCTCTAAGCAGGTCCTTCCCTGGGGCCTCACAATCCTCCTAGGTTGTGTCTTCAATGGGGAAAGAAAAGGGCCCAGATGCGGTCAAACACTTCTGGAGAGAAATTAACCCCATCCCAGGCCTGCAAAGGGCCCCACTGCTATGAAAGACTTTTCTGGCCTGCCTGCTCCAAGGTAAATACCTGCTGAGGAGCAACATTCAGCTGTGTATGTGACCACAGCAGCCCACCCGGCCCTGCCCTGTGGCTCCGACCATGCAAGCTGGCCAAAGGTCCAGCTCCATGCTCTTGCAGGTTCATAGTTCCTGTCCACTGCTCATGTCCAGTGCCAGGTGTGCAGCATTAACACAGACCACCCTGAGGCTCTCAGAGCTGAACAGGAAACAGCAGCTTAAAACTCTTAGGAGTTTCTGGAAGTTTGTTTAGAAGTTTTAAGAAAGAGATGAACTAGATCTGCTTTCCTTCCTCCTTGTATTCCTCCTACCCCAGGCAGGCTGCCATGTGCCACTCCTTTTCTTTCTATATCACCTGATCATTCAGGTGACCACACACCAATGCCACTGGGAGGTGCCTAGAGCCCAGGATCCACCTGAAGAATGTTTTTGGCCACCCCCATCTTTCCAAAGTAGAGATCTCATCTGAATGATTTTCCAATCCAGGGCAAATGCCTCTTGTGTCCCCAGGGAGTACCCTAGACTCTCAATCTTTTCTGCTTTTAAACATCATAAAATAAGTTATTAGAACAACTCTTGTTCTGGAAGCTCTGAATTTTTTTTTTGACCCTGTCACTCAGGCTGAAGTGCAGTGGTGTAACGAGAGCTCACTGCATCTTCAAATGCCTAAGCTCAAGTGAGCCTCCCAGCTCAGCCTCCCAAAGTGCTAGGATTATAGACGAGATACTGCACCCAGCTGGAAGTTTTTTTAAATTTTAAAAATTTTCCAAATGCCACACGTTACCCTCCAAATTGTTAGCAGAAATAGGAGCAAAATCCTATATACCATGGGCTGGCAAACTGGGACCTCTGGGCCCAATCTAGCTCACTGTCAATTTTTATAAATAAAGTTTTATTAGCACATGGCCCTACCCACTCATTATAAACCACCTCTGGCAGCTTTCACAGCAGAGCAGCAGAGCAGAGTTGCCATGACAAAGAGCCCATGGCCCACAAAGCCTAAAATACTTAACAGTTGCCTTTTTAAGCAAAAATTTGGCTGACCCATGTTACTTACTAGGAGCAGCTTCATGTTTCTTACAGTTTCCCTTGAGAATGACCCACAATGAAAGCATGAAACAGCTCAACCCAGGGCCACAGCTAGGACAGCTGTGGATTATAAAGACAGAGTGAGAAGACTGGCGGCCATGGGGGAGGTCCCAACAGCCTGCCTGCCCCTGGAAGGAGACAGAGATAGATAGGGCATAAGGCACACACAGTGCCCTGACTTACCCGTGGCCTGGCAGAAGAGGTGGAAGGTCCCCAGCGAATGCACCTGCTGTGCCTGGTCACTCAGGAAGGGTGGCAGCAAGGAGACCCGCGAGCTGCTCTCAGGCCCCGTGCCTGAGGCCGGCCAGAGACTCCGGGGAGAAGAAGATGAATCAGGGCCCAGACAGGACAGGGAGGAGGAGCCAGGAGGAAGGAAAGGCTTAGAAGATGAAGCTGCGAGACAGAGGACAGAAAAGAGAGGGCACTGAGGAAGAAGTCCAAGGGTACATCACAGGTGAAGAAGGCGAGACACAGCAGGAAACGGACATGTGGGGTGGAAGAGAAAAGAGCCTGGCCATGCAGGGAAGCGGCAGGAAGCACAGCCGCCTCGCCAGCCACAGGGCACAGGTGCTGCACGGCCTCCGCTAAGGAACATCCTGCCCAAATCAAGGATAGACGCTTCTCATTTATTTGGGTACTTTCCAAATGTATACAATTCAAAGTAGAAAAATAAAAACAAGGTAAATCTTATAAAACACAAATGTTCACACCAGAATGGTCAAATCATATCATGCTGGAAGACGAGACTGTCGACACAGGCACACAAAAATCCAGAGTTTATTGCTCTTTGCCATGGGAAAAAAAGTCTCTTCTCAATGGGTATTTACAAAGCAGGGAGATGGAGTGTAAAATTAGCAAATGTTGAGATCGTACCACCCGTTCACATCTTTAAAACAGTGGCCAGTGGAGCAGGTCAGGAACAGCAGCTGTGTGCTTGCGGGTACGTGGTCACAGCCCTTGGCCAACAGCCCTGTCCACAGAGGCCCAGCTCAGTAGGTACAGCTCAGTTAGGTTGCTGGGAAAGTCTGGGCAGGCAGTGGGCATAGAATTGAAGCAAAAAGAGACGGGAATGCTCAGAAAACCAAAGGCATCCTGTGAAGGTTCCATCTGTCTGACAGGAGGTCTTGACTGGCAGCCATGGGCACTGATTGGGCCACACCTCTCCTCTCAGCTCTCAGGCCCCCCAACAACACCCCCCTCCACTCCCCGGGCTCTGGGCTGCCCAGGCCACCTTCCTTCACTCAAACCCGCCTCACAGGCATGGGACAGACCTCTTCAAGAGAATAAAAAGAGAAGGCAAAAAAAAAAAAAAAAAAAAAGCACAGAAAAAAAAAGAATGTGTCTGAAAATGATACTTTTCTCGAGGAATAAAGTTAAAAGGAAAAAAGAAGGTGAGTGTGCTCAAGAGATGATTTTGGTCTACATTTCTAAAAGCAGAAAAAACACATTTAGCAAAAGTAAGTTTATCCCTGAGAATCTTAAGCAACATAAACTATATTTTATCCCAATATATAACAAAATCTAGAAGATGCACATCTTCTTCTAAATATTAAAACATCTGATTCAGTAATTAAAAAAAAAATGATCTACAACATGAACACAATCAAAGCAAAATTCTAAAATAATAATTAAGTGGAAGAAAAGGTTCGTGCCAATCTGGACAACAGGCAATAAGTTACCAATCTGATAAACTAAAATGTCATTTCCAATCTGGAATGAATTATCTTTTAGTGGCTGCTGTGAGGAGGGGAGCCGAAGGGGTGTTCATCTCAGCCGGGAGGGGGGGTCAAATCATCTTCCCCCACTACAAAAAGGGCTCAGGTAAACCCGCACCACTGCCCACAGGACTCCGTAAAGCACTCCGACCGACCGTGGGATGTGATGCTTGTCATTTTCCAAAAGGACAAAGAGAAACCAAGTCACAGGCTCAACCCAAGAGAAAACAGACAGAGGACTGAGGCTGGCTGCTCGACACGGGGTAACCTATGCAGTGCTACACAAGACTCGGCTACCAAACGGGAGAGTCACAAAACCCCCTAGCATGGACGTGTCACAGCCGAGGCGCGGGTGGGGATGCCTGGCCGGCCTCAGTCTCCATCCGCATCTGAGTCTGCGAACTTCAGCTCGCACTTGACATCAAATGGCCTGTCCCTGGCAGAGAGGTCGTCGATCCTCTGCGAGTCCTCCCTGTCTGTGGGGACTTTGCTGGTGATAGTATCCTGCTCTGTCTCATAGCCGGTGTCTTGGGCTGGCTTGGGCTGCTCCCCATTCTGCTGGGAGAAGCTTCCCGGCTCCACCAATGTCTCCTTCAGGCTCTGCTCGCGGTCACAACAATCCGACTTGGGCTTCTTCTTCCCAAAGAGCAGAGCAGAGCGGAATTTTAAACAGTGTCCGGGCAGGTAGCCCTGGTAACAGTTATAGAGAAAGAGGCAGAGGAAGAAGACGAAGAAGAGGAGGAAGAGGGACATGAGGAGGCGGTTATCGCTGGAGCTGAGGTACATGGTCTTCTCGGGGAGGGGATGGGGAGCCGTGTTGATCACGATCTTTGTTTCACAGGACATGCTGGTGGGCGTGGGCCTGGGGGCAGGGGTGACGGGCCTGGGTGCAGGGGTGACGGCCCTGGGGGAGCTGACTTCCACAGCTGGGGTCGGAGGAGGGGAGCCTGGGATGGATGCTGCCAACACTTTGGGGACAATCCAGCTGCCTTCCGTCTGAACAGCTGGCAAGGTGGGCAGCTCGGGTCGTGGCAGGATGTGCTTCACCTCCAGGACGTGCTTGGCGACCACCCGGGAGACCATCTTATTCCTGACCTGCTCCTCCGACAGGCACAGGTACACCCCACTGTCTCCCTCCGACAGGTTGAAGATGAGCAAGTTTTTTCCGTCCACGAGACCATACTTGGGGCTCTCGACCTTCAGCACGCTGTTCTGGAATTTCCAGAACACCTGGGCCAGGTTGGACTTCTGGAAGCATTTCAGTTCCACTGTGCTGCCGTACTTGAAAAAGTGCTGCCGGCAACTCTCTTTAGTTTTATCTGGAACATCAAAATAAACGTGCACAGCATCAACAACCCTGTTCATACCTAACTTCTTTTAAAAATAGGTTAATACCCACAAGATGACATAAGAGTTTCACCCACTGGAACAACATGGACTCTTCCAGAGCAACTAAGGAAATAAAGACATGCGTGAGAAAAAGCAAAGAGATGAGCTATGGATGGCAGCCCACTGGGACAAAGAAAGTGGAGGCGGCTCGGAGCAGCAGAAATCCCGTGTCTCACCCTCACATCCTGGAAGAAATGCACCAGGTGGGGGAGCCTAGGCAGAGAGGCCAGTTCGTGTCTGGTGGCAGCACTTGGAGGCAAATGTGTAACACTCCTGTTAGAGGTTCTGAGAGAAGTCGCCCTTTCCATGCACCACAGCCCCCTCCTACAAGTGTCATAATCTGATGACAGCTGTCTTACAGGGACTGGAGGGCACAGAAGCCAGGGGCACGACTGTCTATACACCATGACCTTTAGCCACTGGTGAGGATGGGACATTGGGCCTGATTCCATCCGTCCTCTCATCAGTGTCAGACGGTTACCGATGGTGGGAACATCAGGTGGGGACCTGAGGGAAACGCCAGCCCAGTTCCTCAACTGCCTGCGGACCAATCTCTCAGGGCTCCCTTCTTCCCAGTTAGGGTGGGTCTAGGTTTTGCTTCATGAGCCCCAAGCTGAGCAGAAGAGCCAGCGGACAGTTTTGGATGGGGAGGGCGCCCAGGAAACACACTCTGTGTGGTGCTCCGAGATCTTCTGCAGTGAGAGGCAGGAAGACCACAGGGCCTGCTACCTGACACGTGGCCTCTCTTCTGAGAGGGGAAAGAAAAAGGCACACAATGACACAGAACTAAAGCACCAGGGAATGAATGGTTGCGAGACCTCGCTGCCCCCACGGGAACTGGGAGGAGGAGGAGCCACTCACCCGGGCAGCTGGAGACATCGCCACTCATCTCCTGGATCAACTGGCTGGAAGACAACCGCACACATTACTACTCACCCCTGCACACATGACACGTGCACACACGCAGCACCACACACGTTACTTACCCGGACACGTTTTACACACACACACACACACACACACACACGGCACTGCACACATTACTCACCTGCATGCACACACACAGCACCACACATGTTACTCACCCGGACACACACGACACCTGCGGCACCACACATGTTACTCACCTAAACATATTACACACACACACACACACACACGGCACTGTACATGTTACCTGCACACACGCGGCACCCACATACGTTACCCACACACACATGCACTTATACACGTTACACACACACACACGGCACTGTACACATTACACACACACACACACACACACACACACACACACGGCACCTGCACACTTTACTCACCTGCACACACACGCCCCTGAACACTTTACCCACACATGTCACTCACCCGCACGCCCCTGAACACTTTACCCACACGTCACTCACCTGCACACATGCGGCATCACACATATTACTCACCCGGACACACACAGCACCCCACCCCGTACCTGCTGGGGTCCTCAGTCTCTTGCAAGGTGACACAGGCATCTGTCTGACGGCTCCAGGCACAGTAGGGGTCCCGTGCTAGCACGCAGTCAGCGCAGGTGCTGTGCTCCCCACAGAAGGCCAGGGGGACCTGGACCACACCCAGGTTGGAGCCGGCATAGATGAACCTCTTGCCCTGTACATGTAGACAGAGAAGAGAACTGGTGTCAGGCAAATAGTCATAGCCCAGCAGGGCTCTGAGCTTCCTCCCCGCCTGAGGGGAACATCTTCAGGGATGGGAGCAGGACCTCCCCAAGTCAGAACCAGGGCAAGCTGGACAAAACCTCAGGTGAATGCAGGTTAGCGCTTGCATTCACTTGAGCAGAATCGCATGCTCAGTTAGGGCTCACTGGGCCTTGGGTCTGAATCCCTCCCTCCCGTCTGGGCACCTACCACCCCGGCCCACCCTGCTGGCAGAACACTGCCCTGCACATATTTCTTCTGGGGCAGGAGACTGCTCAGTGCCCTGAGTCCTTGCCCGGGAGCGGGTGCACTGGCTTAACGCTCTCGGCCACCCTCATCGTCTCACTGCAGGTGCGATGAGGACTCAGGGCACCACCACCAACCTCATCCCCCAGCCAGCACGGAAGTGCCCATGGACAGAGTCCTTGGCCTCAGCAGGGGCCTGACACAGGGGGGGACTCCAGGTAGATGCTGTATAAAGGACAAACAGAATAACGGGAGAGACACCTCTCACTTTCCACATACCTATGTGTGTGAGGGAGGAACACACAGACAGGAGCGCAGCCGCCCAGCCCTGTGTGGCCACATTCAGAGTGGGGAACAGACTGATTCTCCCCCTCTGGAATGTCCTGTCTACAATGGCTCTGGCTTCAGGTCCATCCCCTCAGCCCGCCAGCACTGGCAGTGTCCAACTCAGAAAAATCACCATGGTCAATTGTTTTTAAACTAAGTTCAGCAGGAGAAAAGGTGCCCCACACTGTACCCTCCTGAAGCTCAGGGCATGCAACAGGTTGTGGGGTGGCACAACAAACCCTCTTACTCTGCTTGGAAGAATCTGTCTCACCTCAGTATCCCAGAAAAACCTCTTGGTTAACATCACAAGATACCCAAATTTACATACAACTTAGTATTTGAGTCAGATGAAGCACAACCTTCATCTTCAAGGGCACATTCTGAACCAAAATCAGGGTTTGGCTGAAGGTTATAGTCCCTGCCACTGACCCAGACCCACAGGCTCACGAATCCAAAGGCCCCAGGTCATAGACCAGGCTGCATGGGTACAGATGCATGAGAGAAAGCCTTCTCTCCCCCCTGCCGCCACAGTGGATGGAATCTGTAACTCCATAAATGGCAGAAGGAACCTGGCCCAGTGCTGCCCCATCCACATCAGTGGAAACCCAAGTAAATGAAGCCACACACATACCACATTCATGGAAAGGATCAAGGGTCATGTGTTCCATGGCTTGTGGAGGTGTGGAAATGTTTCCTGCTGACAAAGCCTATGCCAGGTACCTTCAAAGGGTCCCCAGCCAAGGAAACATTTGCAAGGCAGTGTGAACACTCATGCACAGAAGAACGGGTGTCACTGGGTGGCCAAGGGGAGCCCACCTGACCCTTCGCCCCAGCTAGAGGCAGGCAGCAGCCGTGAAAAGCTGAGAGGGCTGTGGGGGCCAGTTTCTGGGGCTGCAACCCTTCCTGACAGCCGGAGACTCAGCTACTACCTCTGCTTGTCCTGAACAAAGCCAGCGGGAGCCCAAGTGACACAGCTGTGACAGCAGAACACGCCTCTCAGTTTCCAATGGGTAAGCATGGAAGGGAAGAAAGAAAGGGGAATTCTCCACTAGGACAGCCAGCACAGAGTGAAGCGGGCAGGGCTGCTGGCAGCTGTGAACACAGGTGGGCCAAAGGAGAACAGGGTGTTCCCGCAGCTTCCAAGTCCCTCCCCCACGTAAACAGAGGTGACTGTGGGTTTTCACACTGCCCCCAAGAGGAGGGGCTCACTCTGCCCTCACACAACCCCACCCCTGGTGCACAATACACAGGAAAAGACGGTGCCCGAGGTCACCACACCAGCACTGCATCATGGGGATGCCACATCCCCAGCAGGCACCCTCTCAGGTGCTCCCCCCAGACCTCTGACCCGTGATCCTCAGGAGAAAACATATGACAGGCCACAGATGTCTGACTGGTCATGTCCGGGAGTGCCAGGCTCACAGGATGCAGGGATGGACTGAGACACAGAGGAGACGTGATGCCTAAATGCAACAAGTGATCCTGGAGGAGCCGAGAAGGTCATAGGTGGCTGGGAAAGGGTGGGGAACCAGGCACTGGGCTCCAGATGGCACAGGTGCCCAGGATGGCGCCTCAGCTCAGATGAGTGCACCTGGCTACAAGAGAAGTGACACCCTCTCGGAACATCCTACCTCTTCTGTAAACCTAGAATTATTTCAAGGAAAGAGAAAATCAAGCCTCACTGGGCACCATGCAGCCTCAGTGAGGCACCTGAGAGCCAGTTCGACCATCCAAGACTCTGTCTCCCACCTCCCCTTCCCCTAGCCTGGTGACTGTCTCTGCCAGTGAGTGTATGTGCAGGGCCGGAGCCACACGGGGGTGACGGTGGACAAGGCCAGAGTCGAACGAGCTGCCAAGCTCCTCCCCTCCCCTCTGCCACCCTGGCTATATGCCACTATCAGCAAGAGTCCTGGCAAAAATGCAGCCACAGCCAACTCTCTGGGCTCAGCCAACCATCAAAGCATGCCTGCTGCATACTCCACAGGACGGACGGAGGCAGGGACTAAAGGGGGTGTCTGCACACCTGTGTTCACAGCAGCACTATTCACAATAGCCACAAAGGTGGGACCAACCCAGGTGTCCTTTGAGGGACCAACAGACATGCAACATGTGGTCTGTCCATATGAGCAACACCATTCAGCCCTAAAAGGAAGGAAATTCCAACCTGCTACAAAGAGATGACCCCTGAGGACATTATGTTAAGTGAAAATAAGCAAGTCACAAAAGGACAAATGTTGTGTGATTTCACTGAGAGGAGAAACCTACTGCAGTCACAACCACAGAGACAGAAGGCAGGATGGTGGGTGCCCAGGGCTGTGGGGGGTGGGGTGGGCGGGGAGTGACTGCTCAGGGAGCTGAGCATCTCCCTGGGAAGGTGAAGGGGGCTCTGGAGATGAGTCACCCAGCAAGGTTGTTCTCATCACCACTGAGTTGAACAAATTAGGGGTAAGAGAGTAAATGTCAGGCGATGTATTTTCACTGCAATAAAAAGCAAAGACACACACCTGTCATTAGGGGACATGACACAGGGAGGGTGTAGTGTCGGCTCCTTCTCTGTTCACTGATTGCCCTGGGAGAGGCTGATGGGGGTGGAGGGCAGGGAATAGTCTTTTTACCACTGAGCAGCATCCTCCTGCTGCCATGGCTGTGCAGCTGGGAGTTCCAAATCCACCTGGGGCCCTCCCCGGTCCTAGGGGAAGTTACAGAACTCCCAGCATGCAGGTTGTGTTCCCACCTCTTCCAGGCAACTGCGCGGGGTGGCCAGGCAAGACCAGCAAGGCTTCCCCAAACCCACCAAGTCTTTCTCCTGGGCCTGGGGCTCCCTGTCTGACAGCTGCCTGGTGTGGCCAGGCAACTGGGTTCCGGCTGAGCACAGGACTGACCTGTCACTAACTCCCTCTTACACAGGAACTCCCTTCCCTACCTCCTTCCACTTTGTGGGTCAGGGCCTATGTGCCCTGGAGACCTCTTCCTGCCTGGGTCCCTGAGTGACCATGTGGAACAGAGCCTCATTCTCAGATGTCCATACCAGGGGTGCAAACATTACTCTGGTTTTGGAGGCCTCATGGGTGCCTGCTCTAGTCTGGCATCAACAATGAGGTTGGGGTGGGGCTGGGGGAACAGCTGAAACTCCCACCCTTCAAATCACCAGGGCTTCCAGAATGTTCTAGAGACTGACAGGCAAAACCAGCACAGACACCAAGTACCCGGCAGCTTATAGCTCACTCAAGCTATTTCATTTCCATTCAGAACCAAGGAGGAAACACACTACAGGAGAAGAGGGGAGACAACCGCATAACAGGAGTTTGCAGGAAGCTTATGGACACAGATAAGGGTCAAGATTCTCAAGGGATGCCTGCAAATATGTGCCAGCCCCAAAGGGTGGCCCTGTTATTGCTCAGTTGGAAGGGCATCCCTTCTCTGCCCACTGCCTGGGGACCGACCAGCAGCTGGCTACGGGAGGCAGCCCTCCGAGGGGCCAGTGTGGGTATCTACCTAGCCCTGCCAAGGGCTTCTCAGGAGTTGTGCAGGTTAAACCAGAGATTCTCAGCCACAGAAAAAGGCGGGATGACAGCCCCAGGCTGACATGCTAAAGGAAGGCTTTAGAAACGTTGTAGGGAGGAGAGGCTTAGTGATAGATAGCCTGGGCATTGGGGTCTTGGCAGTCCCAGGGCAGGCACCAGAAATTGTAAACATGGCCAAAGGACCATGAGCTTAGCAGGTCACAGTGTGGGGCCCTCAGACCCAGCTGGGGCAATCCCCAGCCAAAATAAGGTATCCCAGTCACAGGGCAGCACCCTCCCTAGGCCGGCTGCCTCTCACCAGTGTGCCCTCAGCAGGACAGCTCTTGGAAGAGGGGCCACCACTCATGCGAGCACTATCCAGTCTACCTCCCTCCACCACAGGCTCTCTGGGGTCCTGCAGAGCCAAGCCTGTTCTTAGCACTCTACAGGGCTCATGTGACCTTCACAGCCACCCAGTGATGAGATGCCTCACCCCACTGTCCCAGTGAGGACACTGAGGCACCCAGGACAAGGATGACCTGCTCAGCCACAAATGGTGCAGCTGGGGAGTTGGACCAGCCTGTGCTCTGCTGTGTTCTCTCACTAGTAGTGACATTTCCCAAGGTCACTGTGCCCCTGGGATGGGTAGCAAACTCTGGCCTGGGGGCCAAAGCCAATCCCCTGGCCATTTCTATACAGCTGGCCAATCAAGAATGGGTTTTACAGTTTTAAGTGGTTGAAAAAAGCATGAATAGGCTCAGCGCCTATAGCTCAACCGGCTAAGGCGCCAGCCACGTACACCTAAGGTGGCGGGTTCGAATCCCCGCCAAAACAACAATGACGGCTGCAACCAAAAAATAGCCGGGCGTTGTGGCGGGCGCCTGTGGTCCCAGCTACTTGGGAGGCGGAGGCAGGA